AAAAAAAAAAAAAAAAAGATTTATGAAGTAACAAAAGCAAGTTGGAAAGTTATGTGACTTTTATCCCCACATATTTTTATCTGTACATAAAGAAAATTTGCATGTAAATTGTACTTACCTTTGGTAGAAGGTGGTAAAATTACAAAGAATTTAGAGGTTTGTTTGTTTGTTTGTTTGTTTTTGGTACTGGGGATTGAACTCTAGCCCTTGCGCTTTTGAGGCAGGCGCGAGAACCACTGAGCTAAATCCCCAGCCCCAGAATTTAGATTTTTAACATTATGTATTTGGGAATTTTTGAAGGTTTTTTTAAAAATTATTTTTAAAATTTTTGTGGTGCTGGAGTTTGAACCCATGGCTCCACGCAGGGTAGGCAGGCAGGTGTTTTATCGCTGAGCTACATCTGGAGCTCTGAAGTTTTTAAGGGGTGTCACTTTTAGTCAGAACAAAACTCTGAAAATACTTATAAAACATGCAGTCTTTTTCCCCATGTCTGTTTATTTAATGAGTTCTACTATCCAAGATGTTGATCCCTTGTATGTTTGTGTATATACCAACATTCTACTACCTTCCAGTGTTACAGAATATCTCAAAATGTTCTCACATGTAGTTCCTTTGATCATGTTTATAACACGTCTGTGTTCAGTTCTGATTATTTCATGCAGTAGATTTTTAGAAGTACACACATCCTAAAGATCTTGGTGAATATTTCCAAATTATTTCACAGAAAAATTAGACCAATAAAATAGATAAGGCAGTGATTACCTTGTTAGACTCTTGCATGGAACATGATTTGGGTCATTGTTTTTTGTTTTTTAATCTGTAAGTTTTTGAAAGAAAAATAACAGTGGAGCCAGGTGCACACCCATCCCAACTACTCTGAAGGCTCCAGCCCCGAGTCCAAACCAGGCAGGGCTGCACAGGGAGACACCGTGCAGAGTAAAGCTAATTGTTCATTTATGTGTTTGCATTTCAGGCAGTTCTGCCTTGAACTAAATGGACTTGCTGTTAAACTTCAGGTAATATTTTGTTCTAAGTTAAATTGTAATTGAAGTTCAGATATTTTTTCCCCATTTTTGTAATTTACTGTGCCTTTAGAGACTTACCCGTATTATTTGATCATTTCCTTTTTATAATCTGTGTGGAAATGGAGTAACCATAATGATAAACATTTTCACTCTTTTACATACTGAGAAATACATTTATTTATTTGTTTATTTATGCAATTATTTTTAACAGAGCGAATGCCATCCAGATACTTGTACCCAGATGACAGCAACTGAGCAATGGATTTTTCTTTGTGCTGCTCATAAAACACCAAAAGAGGTAAGATGGACTAGAATGATGGTTAGAATCATCATAGCTCCAGGACATTGGGAAACGTGTTTTAGAGATTGATGGTTTTGTTTTTCAGACAGGGTTTCTCTTTGTAGTTCAGTCTGTCCTTGAACTCACAACACTCTGCTGGCCTCAGCCTCCTTAGTGCTGGGATTACAGGTGTGCACCACCATGCCCCGCACAGTTTAGAGTTTTTAATTCACTGTTTACTGTTTGGTTGCAAGTTTTTTCCACAGTTCTGTTTAAGGATTTCTTATGATGAGCATCATTCATAATTTGGAGTTGTATGCACTAGAACTCACTTCCTGAGTACTGGATGTCACAGAATGATATCGTCCCCACCCACTGGGTAACCTTTCTGGTGTAACTGTTTAGGTTTTGTCGAATCATAATATCTTTTGATTGCGCAACTGTTGCCTACTTACTAATGCCTAGTCTGTGGGTAGCAGTGTTACTTTTGAGAGATTTTTATTGTTCATACTGTTTCTCTCATTTACTTGGCAGAGCAGTTTGTGATTTTGTTTCTCCTTTTTCTGTTTTTCACAGCACTAGGGGTTAGAGTCAGGGAGTGCTAAACTATATCCCCAACCCTTTTAAGATTCTTTCTTTTTTAGGGGGGGTACTAGGGATTGAACTCGGGACCTTGTGCTTGTGAGGCAGGTGGCGGAACCACTGGGCTGAATCCCCCGACCAAGGATTCTTCTCTTGGTTTTGGGACATGGTTTGCTAAATTGTCTAGACTGGCCTTGAACCCTCAATCTTTCTGCCTCGTTCTCCCAAGTAGAGTAGCAGTTGTTAATCGTACTTTTAAAAAATGTTGGCATTTTATGTCACTTAACATTCAGTATGTATTCACTTTTCCTTAGTTGTCTCACTTGGTTTATTTAAACTGTGTGTTGCATTTCCTGTGCGCTGCAGTTTTGAAGTCTGTAGTCATTTCTTTTTGCTTGACACTCGCTCATACCAGGCCAGGCCAGTTTTGTCCCACGGTAGACCTTCAGCTGTCATTTTGTTGACAGGCCTTTAAGACTCAAAGACAAATGACTGTATGCAAAATCAGTATTTGGTGTTCTTTCATTTGAAAACTAATAAAATTCCAGGCAGGGCAGGGACTGGGGGAGAAAAAGAATAAATTCTCCAAAATAAGCAGTGTCTGGTACCTGTGTGAGAGAGCAGTTTCCTTCAGGTGTTGCACTGTGTTACGGGTGTGTGTGGGTCCTTGTCTGGGAGGGTCCATGTGTTTCCTGATATTCCCTGAAGTTAACTGCTTAGTCCAGCAAATGGTGAGTGCAGTTGGGAAACTGAGGCCAGAGGGCTCATTGTCTCACGGAAACAAGAAGTGCTCGGCATTCTGTGGCGTGGCCTGAGTCTACAGGCACTGTCATTCTGACGTCTGCTGGAAAGGGTTGGCTTGCTGGTAGAATCGGGGCACAGCGTGTCCCATCCCGGCTCTGTGGTGAGTCTGGTGGGGGTAGTGTGTGAATTGGGGTCACTGCTGTCGCACAAACAGAAAGGAAACGGGACAAGTGCTCTCAGCTCTTGGCATCATCAGTCAGGAAGCTGGGAACTGACAGATGACTGCCCAGGGCCCTCTTCTGTGTGGCCAGGAGGTTGGGCTGGACAAGGACTGGCCCTTCCTCCTCTGAACGCTGCTTTCCTCTGGGGGTGAAGAGTGCTGGGAATGAAAATGGGAGGCTTCATTTCCTGATGGGCATCGTGTCTTGTGGTCACCGCAGTGGAGCGGGCCTGTCCTCGCCCAGCGCACATAACAGGCAGAGCGGCGCCCGCACTCCGAGTCCACACTGACTTCCTGTCCTCTGCTCTCCTCTCCCCTCCCTTCATAGTGCCCCGCCATAGATTACACCAGACACACGCTCGATGGTGCTGCCTGCCTTCTCAATAGCAATAAATATTTTCCCAGCAGGTAAGCTCAACTCCTAAACATGGCGGTAAGCTTTGGGTTTAATTTAAACATGGATGTCTTAAGGCTAACATCAGTTTCTTCTTGTTTGTTGGTTTTAAACTGTGGACTATTTGTCTTGTTGGAGTGATCTGAATTTTGCATTAAGTTTTGGCTAAGCAGCTGGGTGGGCTCCCACCTCCAGAGCGCTTCCTGGCAGCCTGCGCCATCCCTGGAGCCAGGGGGCCGGGGTGCGCAGGCTTCCTCCGCTCTCCACCTGCCTCTCATGCCTGCGGGAAGAGCAGACTCCTTTGCTGGGCTGCTTGTATTTGAACAGTTCCTTTTGTTTTGTTTGTTTGTTTTTTGATACAGGATCTCACTATGTAGTTGAGACTGACCTACAACTCACTATGTAGCCCAGGCTGGTCTCGAACTCACAGTGATCCTCCTGCCTCAGCCTCCTGAGTGCTGGGATTATAGGCATGTGCCACTGTGCCTGGCTTGTTTTGTTTTGTTTCGTTTTGTGTTTGAGACAGGGTCTCACTGTGTAGGCCAGTGTGGCTTTGGATGCACTGTATACCCCAGGCTGAACTCAAACTCCCAGAGATCTCCTGCCTCAGCCTCCAGTGCCCTAGAATATAGGTGTGCAGCACCACACCTGACAAGACACCCCCACATACCTTTTGGACATGATTCCTTATTCTTGCCTACAGTTCTTTTAAGACTTGGGAAGAAGCTGTGCGTGGATTGTATTGGTGAGATTTGTGACTGCTCTTTAATTCTGTTAAGATGCTTGTAACCAAGAGATGGATTTGGAGATCCCCCCCTCCAATAAGATTACTCCAAAAAGCTCATAAATTATGTTTTTAAAAAAGTACTAGAAACAGAAGGTAGGGATGTAGCTCAGTGGCACTGTACCTGCTTGGCAAGCACAAGGTCCTGAGTTAGATCTTTGGTACTGGAAAAAAACAAAAACTGGTTTTGCCTCAATATCATATGTACACATTTTTAAAAGGAATATCAGAAATATGCAGACATACTTTGATTCTCAAAAAATACATAAAACCCACTTCTTTAGAATAAAAATTCTTGTGAGCAATTTTAATGGTGTCTAGTGGAGAAAGTATTAGTTTTGTGAAACCTATGCTTTGGTCAGTTCTGAGCTGTCTGGGTTCTCTGTAACAGAGTGGCTCCTTAGCAGAGTGCCTGAGTCCATGCTGCTGACCTCTCCCCGCGGCCTTGGTGAGGGAGAGTGGCTGGATGCCAGGTGGGAGGCGGGGTCCAGGCCGGCCCTGCGGGAGCCATCTGCATACGTCCAGGAGCAGGTGCAGTGTGGGTCCTGACCTCTGTCCAGCTCGGCGAATCTGTGGTCTCTCTTCTGTTTTTAGGGTTAGCATAAAAGAGTCATCTGTAGCAAAACTAGGATCCGTATGTCGTAGGATTTACAGAATATTTTCACATGCTTATTTTCATCACCGGCAGATATTTGATGAATATGAAGTAAGTATGTTTCACCGAGTTTCCTGATGCTTCCTGTCAGAATGATACTAACCTCTGTTGTCATGACTCCTGCCTGTGTGATTTTGGACAATAAAATAACATGTCTTTCTTCCTTTCTGCAGAATGAAACATTTTTATGTCACCGGTTTACTAAATTTGTGATGAAATATAATTTGATGTCCAAGGATAACTTGATTGTACCAATTTTAGAAGAGGAAGTGCAGAATTCAGTGTCCGGGGAGAGTGAAGCATGAAGGGGATGGGAGAAACGCACGGCTCGCGTGTTCACAGTAATCATGTACTGTACGTAATCGTGTAGACGCATCAATCATGTATCCACAGTCCAGCTTCTTTGTGTAGGGTAGGGTCTGTAAGCTGCGTTACCTTTTAAATGGGAGATACTTAAGTTATTCATGAGCTGTATATTCACCGGTGTGGCACTCATGGTTTTTAAATAAGATTAGTATTATCTGTTTATAATGCCTGTTAATAAAAGAATTTACAGTTTGGTAAAATTGCTGCTAAACAATCATTGGATCACAATCCTCATCAAATAAATCTATCTATAAGAAAGATGAGTGAGCTTCAGGTTTTGCACAAGCTGTTTACTAAAGTGGTGGTAAGGTTTTCCCAAGCTTAGATATATTTAAGACAGTTTTGTAGTGTATAATTCATCTTAACTGTTAACTATTGCAGAATGAGATCAAAATGTTTTAAAAATTTTGTGGATGGTTTTATTATGCATATACGCCCAAATATAAATGCAAGTGAGGCATTAGTAATTGTTCGGTAATCTTCCTGTGTCACATGGAGCGTGTCCTGGGCCAGCACCCATGGGAAGGACACCCTTCGTGCCGCAGTGGATGATGGGATGCGTGGTGGTGGGGTCGTGGGCTTTGGAGGGTTCCTCTTGGAAACCGCCCTCGGCCCTCGCGCCCCTCCCCTCCCTGGACTGCTTTAGTGCAACGAGTTTCCCCAGGCTGATGTGGCAGCAGCTCGTTCCTATTCATACTGTATTAACTGCTTAGAGATTACACCTCACCCTCACAGTCATAACACACGTACAGGAGAGCTGTATTGACGTGGGTACTCTCTCTTTTGGGGAATTGTTCTAACTACTTAGAAAACAGTTCTTACCATAGTTTGACTCTTCCTGTTAGCTATACTAATCTTTTCAGCTAATCCCAGGCAGCGTTAAATAGGGGTGAAGAAACATTGTAGTATTTATTTCATGTCCCCTTCCTCAAAGTTTTATGCTTGAATTATACTCCTGTGTGAGGTTATTTGCAATAATTTACAGGTTCCAGTGGTGTTGGTGAATGTTCATACATCTTTTGGGCTTTGATATAAGTCAGTGTCTTGAAAAGAATTCAAGTACAGGTTTACCAGTCTGAAAAATCTGTTGGATGAATTTTTTGTGAACCGCACTAGAGGTCTTATTGCTAAACCAGTTCTAATGAGGTGTGAAGATGGGGTAAACAATTGTACATGTAGTGAAGAAAATATTCAGAGCCGTCTCTTGACCAGATTTAACAAACGCGGAAGAGCTTCCTTCCCACTCTAAAGCTGTATTGAAACGAAGACAAGAAGTGCTCTCGTCCGACTGTTCCGGTTAAGGAGGTGGCTGATGCCAGGGCTCTCGGCCTGTCCTCCTGCGGCCCTAGCCGTCCCTTAGGGAGCCGGGGTGCGTGTAGTGTCACTGCTCATTCCCAGAACCCCCAGGCTGCGCCCAAGTTGTGCTGCCTGACCCAGGGACTCGCTCACCTGTGCTGAGCAGCCGGCTGAGGTTCTGAAGCACGTTTTCAATCTATTGCGGGATGTTAATGGGAAATAAAATATGACTTTCCCTTACTCATTCCGTCTTCCCTGTACTGTGTGTTTAAAAATGGATCATAAAAAACCCCTCCAACAGAAAGCACTGCCGTGGTCTCTTGCTTTTGTTGGTCTGCACCTCTGCGCCGTGGCAGTGTGCCCCGAAGCCCACAGGCGGGCAGAGGCACCGACAGCAGTCTGCTGGGAGGGCTCCTGCCCCACCCGTGCAGACTGGGCCCAGTGGGGTTTCCTCTTCGCATGCTCGGCGCCTCGTGCTTGCTCCTGCTGAGTTTTGTTCACCTGTGTCCCCCAGCACTGCTTCCTTCATGGGCGTCCACTTCTAACCTGAGGTGTTGCTCCTGGGTTTCTAGAACAGTTTCTCAGATTAATGACTTAACATTCTGCCATCAGAATAAAATTTGAAATCTATGATTACACTGTTAGGAATGTGTTACACTTCTAAACACATTTTCAGCCAGGCATGGTGGCGCATACCTGTAATCCCAGCACTTAGGAGGTTGAGGCAGGAAAATTGCTGGACCAGCCTAGACTGCATAGTGAGACCCTGTCTCAAAAAAAAAGAGAAGCACACTTACTGGTGTCACGATCATCATAATAGAACTAAATTATGGACAAGGCCTGGTAGCACAGACCTGTAATCCCAGTACATGGGTGGCTGAGGCAAGAGGATCTCCATCAGCCCAAGCCCAGCTTGCGCTGCATAGTGAAACTGCCTGCCTCAAAAAGCAAAAGAACTGAATCTTTTCCATGATGATTTTGCCCTCTTTATAATTTTTTTATTTTTCTTTTTTGCTTCAGGACTTCTATAATTTTATTTCCACAATTTTTAGTTTTTAAATACTTTGTTTTATAAATTTTTTCTCTTTTATTCTTTTTTCCCTGTACTAAGAATGAAACTTAAGGTGCTTTACTACTGATCCACATCCCCAGCCCCTTTTAAATTTTGAAACAAGCTCTTCCTCATTTGCCTGGTGATCTTACTGCCTCAGCTTCCCAGAGTGCTGAGATTACAGATGTGGGCCACTGCACCTGCTTAAAAATACTCATTTTCTTCCTTTGGCTTTTGAGACAGAGTCTTGCTATGTAGTCTAGGCAGGCCTTGGGTGCACCGTGTGGCCCTCTGAGTGCTGGGATTGTGGTGTAGTGTGCACCACCGCACCCAGCTGAGAACAGCTCATTTAATCTGCTGATCATTTCTTGTGCAGCTCTTCCACGCCGCACAGGTCTTAGTAAAACTGGTTGACTTACTCTTGCAGTCCTGGGGATTGAACCCAGGGCCTTGCACGTCCTAGGCAGGGGCTCTACCACAAGCTCCACCCCAGCCTTTTATGGGTGCGGCTACTAAGAATGGAACTCCTGTCCTTGTGCTTGTGAGGCAGGCAGGCAGTGGAACCACTGAGCTAAATCCCCTGCCCAGCCCTTTTAGTTTTCTCTTGAGACAAAATCTTGCCAGGTTGCCCAGGTTGTCCTTGAACTTTCGACCCTCTTGCCTCAGCCACCTGTATACCCAGGGTTACAGCTGTGTGCCACGGTGCGTGGCTTGGTTTTCAGGGTTTAAAGTATCCGCTAACCAGACAGCACTGAGGTACTTTGCAACACACTGAGTGGTTTGAGGTGCAGATCGTCCAGTGCGCTTCCTGGGAACCTGCGAGGTTAGGTACAGCAGGGCTCAGGCCGGCCCATGGGCTATCCACACAGGTGGGCCCAGGCTTCTCTGGGTGTCCTCCTTCTGTTTGTGTTCTTTTTATGTCACACAAAGCTTTGTGTGCAGTGTGAAAATCTTCCATTATAAAGAAGCAGTACATTTCTGTATTAGCCTAACTGGAAGCTCGACCTCTGGAATGCGCACCCATGAAGGTGTTTAGGAGGCGTCTGATAAGGATCCCCATTTCCACTGTGGCACCCACATACTGTAAGAGTCTGTGCTTTTCTTTTTTAAATGAAATCAGGATGTTGGTGTACTGTTTTTTGAGACATGGTCTTACTGTGTAGCTCATGCTGGTCCTCAACTCTGTATCCCAATGAGGCTGGCCTCGAACTTGCAGGGACCCTCTTGCCTCAGCCTCCCGAGTGCTGGGATCATAGGCGTGTGCCACCGTTCCTAGCTATAATCCATTTTGGGTGATTTCGGTGTATGGTGTAATTGAAAGGTCTGGTTCCATTCTTTTGCACATTGATACTGTTTTGCCAGTACCATTTGTCAAGCCTATATTTTGCTGTTGTTTATTCTTTGGGAGAGCGTTTTGTTTGGCTTTAGTTTTTTGAGATGCGGTCTCTGGGCAGCTTAAGGTGATTCTCTCGCCTCGGCCTCCCAGGCCTGTGTCACACCTGGTTTATTTCCTTATTTTTAATTACTTAGTGGCACAGGAGATCAAATCAGGGCTTTGTGTTCACGGGGCAAAAGCTCTGCCACTGAGTCATCCCCACCCTTGGCGGGCTATGTTCTGGCAGTTGAATCCAAAATACAAGTCAGGCCCTGGTACAGTGTTGAGCATCTATAGTCTGCCTATGGGAGGCTGAGGCAGGAGGATCCTTTGTGCCCAGGAGTTGGAATCTAGCCTGGGTGACATAGCCAGACTGTCTGAAAAACCCGAACGACAACAGCTGAAGGGTCTGGCTGGGCTCTGCTGGTGTTCATCAGATCCCTTGGGGCAGAGAGGAACTGTGAGCCTGAGACTTCACAGACTCAGACAAAACCACCAAAGTGAGGCTGTGGGGTGAGGCTGCATCCCTGCTGACGAGGCCTCAAGTGCCCTGTAGGACACAGGAAGTCGCTCTCCCTGAGTGACCTCCCAGGAGTTTGAGGACAGCACCGGTCACCTGGACCTGGACACCTAAGGCGCCTGCACCCAGGCCAGGCCTGGCCACCCCGCAGGTAGGCCCGGGACATCCTGTCTGGTGCCACATGTGGCAGCGTGGCCTGGGCTTGGGAAGGCTGGAGACACCCAGCCCTGCTTCCCCCACCCCCAATCCACCTGTGGGCTGAGCTGCACTTTCTGACAGCTCGACCCTGTCTCAGAAACAAAGGGCCGACAGCCAGCTTGAGCCCATACTTTCAATAACAATAGAAATTAAAAGCACAGATTGACCAGAGAACCTTAAGAAGTTAGGACTTCCGCTGAGGTACCAGGAGGGGCGCCTCTGACTCAGGGCAGTAGCCCAACCCACCTGCCAAGATGATGCTGCCAGGCGGACGGAGGGCCCTGCAGGCCTTTTTCCAGGGTCTTCATGTCCCAGAGAACTGGACAAGACATACAGAAGAGGAAGCAAAAGTGTGCATTTATGGGAGGCAGAAAAGAAGTTCTGCAGACTAGAGCCAACTGGTGAGGCTCATAGCAGCCCCTAGGGGAAAGGAAATGGGTCTGTTGAACCTGAAATTCCAGGTTATCGCCTCATGCAAATAAGGCATTGGAACAGTGTCCTATCAGACCCTCAACCTTGAGGTTGCTATGTGTAAACCACCTATGAAAAAGTTCGCTTGGCTTCATGTTACATGTAAATGAAGGACCTGAAACTGTCTTTTGATTGGTTGTGCTTTTATGCAAATGAAGGGATGAAAAGAACACCTGATTGGTCTTGCACACAGCACCGGCTTCAAATGAGGATTGAAAATATCAAGTTTCTGACTCTAGACCTGAGTGAGGCAGAGACCTGGACCAGGGGTGGTGGGAGCTTCCCTCCTGCCTAGTCCCTTCTGTGATCACCATTCCAGCTGCTGGAAATGCTGAGAAAGAGGAGGGAAGAAACTCCCAGGACTCTCAAGCTGTCTCTCTCCACTCTTGAACCCGAGCAGTGCCAATGCCCTGCCTGCCTGGAGGGACTGTGCCTTTGGCACCTTCACCTAATGGGACCCCAACGTGAAGTGCCCCAGGGGCATGGTGGCGCACTCCTGTAATCCCAGCACTCGGGAGGTGAGGCAGGAGGATCTCTGTGAGTTAGAGACCAGCCTGGGCTACATAGTGAATTCCAGGTCAGTCTCAAGTACATAGTGAGACCCTGTCTCAAAAAACAAAAAAAAGGGACCCCAAAAGTTTGGAAATCAGATGCTGACAGTAGAAAGTCCATTGGAGCCGCTTGACACAGCTGAATTCCTAAAGAAATCTTTCTGAAAGTGAAGACCACATATGAATTCCAGCAGTCTCAAGTACATAGTGAGACCCTGTCTCAAAAAACAAAAAAAAGGGACCCCAAAAGTTTGGAAATCAGATGCTGACAGTAGAAAGTCCATTGGAGCCGCTTGACACAGCTGAATTCCTAAAGAAATCTTTCTGAAAGTGAAGACCACATCCCCGAAAGTCCTAACTTCCTGTGATGTATACAAAGTGTCCCACCCACAGGTCCACCTACCAGGTCAGAAACCCTATGATACAGTGGCCAGCACAAGTCCAGAGGCCCACCTGGTAGGGAGACGGGGGCAGAGGAAGTCCTGGCCACTCAGAACTTCCTGGAAAAGGACAAGCAGATGGCCAAGGAGAGGCAGGGTCTCCAGGGAGAGGGCAGCCTGACTGCGGGAGGAGCTGAGGGCCGGGAAAGGGTGCAGGAGGACCCACGTCCACACGATGTATTCCCAAGATCTCCTTTAGTGAAGTACAACTTTCTCAGCTCTCCAATGTGCACTGACAGAAGGAGAAAGGATTCTCTGCTGCCATCGATGCTGGCTTTGTCCAAGCATCATGGCGTTTTTGTGGGCTCCTGAAGTAATTGTTTCTTTCTTTTGGTACCAGGAATCGAACTCAAGACCTTGTGCTTGCCAGGCAGGTGCAGTGCCACTGAGCTACATACCTGGCCCCAGTAACAAATCTACCCAAAAAATGAAGTCTTGAGTACAGAACTCACGTCTAAAAATCAAGAAAAAAGCCCATTTCCCAATACTGATTGATATTTCCACAGAATAAGAGTAAGTGGAATGTCTTGCGGGCCCTTACGCTTGTAGGAGTAACGCTTTGGAAGGACTGGAATCGTTCCTGTTCATCTCACCCCAAGCCCGGTGGACGGCGGCTCAGCCTCGTCATAAACACATTGATTGGTAACTCGTAGTGTGTTTCCGTAGTGTGCACACAACAGGATGGGACAATTTGTGCTGCATGAAGCGGCAGCCTAGTAACAAACAGCATTTTATTATTCAAACGATCTCCCGATGTCAATATCAATGCTAATAAAAATACACGAGAGAATGCATCCCTGCAAAGCAGGTGTTGCTCTCTCGAAGGGTCCCCAGGCGGAGCAGCCTCTCGCACGCACAGGAAAGGATGCTGACGCCTCCCGGTAGACTGAGGCCAGGCCGACGTCTGCAGATGGAACCGGGAGACAGCGCTGTGGGGCAGTTGTCACCACCCACAGCACTGCCAGCACCTCTCCTCCCACGGGACTGGAACTCAAGTCCACAGAGAGGCCTGACTTACATCCAGACAGAGAAGACTTATGTTTCCACTGAGGTGGAGATGTTTTCCCTCTTTGTAGTATTTACAGTTTAAAAGAGAGAAAATCAAATCTTCCTGTTGATCAGAGTGTTTACGTGTCTGTCAGGGGTTGTGGGTGCTCTTGTGTTGTGTGGTTTTGTGTTATGTTTGTGGTCCTGGGGATCCAAGCCAGGGCTTTGGCACAGAGCTCATCCCCAGCCCTTTTGAAACTTTTCTATCCACATGTGCGACACGCCTGCTGTCCTGCTTTCCAAGTGCTGCTATGAGGTTTTCTGGGGCATCAGAGTAACCCAGAGGCACACGTGTCAGCATCGGGTTGGTAACGGCCACCCTTAGAGACAAAGATACAGAAAAGAGTTTGGCTGGAAGAAGGTTTAATAAGGAAGGGCATGCCATCATCAAAGACAAAGTCTGGGTTGTTATATTCAGGGAATAGTTACTTTCTTTCGTGGCTGTGTGTGGGGTGATTAAGAACATTACTTTTTCGCTGCAGTCAGATCACTTCCCGAGCACCTCTAGCTGGGTGAATCTGCTGGGAAAGTTCAGGCTGGGGCCTGCAGTCTTTAACAGGGAGAAGGCAAGCGGATTTCATACATTCATGAGAACTGAAGGAGGCTATTGCTCAGACACTAGCGGGCACCTGCTCACACAGATGTTTAGTCACAGGTGTGGACCGGGAGCCTGTGCCCAGGTCACGCAGACGAGGCCAGAGCCGCGGGGCTCACATGCAGGTGACCTGCGTCAGGCCGTCCTCTGGGTCACACTGCCCGTCGTCCAGCTGCCGGAGGGCGCTGTTGCCCCGGGCCGGGCTCCCCTCCTTGGCCCAGCCCTCGGGGGATGGGGACAGGGACGGGAGGCCGCCCTGGGCGGGGGGCCTGGCCTCCTGCGGTCGTTCTGGGCCAGGGCTCCTGCTGCTCGCCTCGCTCTGGTCCTCTATCCGCGCGAGCCGGCTGCCGCTCCTCTGCAACACAGGGTGGCCATGGGGTCAGAACTGGGCCTGGGCCTCGAGGCCCCAGAGCATTTCTGACAAGGACAGCACAGTGAGTTCCGAGGACAGGCTCCGTCCCCCACTGTCCTGGGCCCTCCCCAGAGGGACGTGGCTGGGGAGCCGGAGGACAAGGACAGCAGCAATCCTGCTAGGTCTCCGAGCCACAGGGACACAGGCAGGAGTTGCTCAGTGCTCAGCTGGCCTTGACTGGCTCTGCCACGGTGTGGCCTGGTGAGTCACCTGCAGAGCTCTCCCGGCTGCAGCACCCCTGGGGTGGCTCTGGGTTGAGAGGTGTGACTCGGGGAGGCTGAGGCAGAAGGGACACAGGAGAGGACTCGAGCGCCCCAAGGGGACAGTGGGCTCCTGAGTGACTTCACCCCTCGGCCTACTTAGCGCTGATGATGTGGCACACAGGGACAGGAGCAGAATTCCAGCCTAGGGAATGTACTGCTCTTGAGTTTGTCATTGGTACAAGCCAAATCAGTCTGTCTGTCTGTCTCTCTCTCTGTCTACTTCCCATCCGTCTTTCTTATTATATAAATGAGCCAGTGACTTATAAAACAATGCACAAAGGTCCCCAAAGAAAAGTCACCACCACAGCCTACTGGATTGTATATAAAGTTAAATAAAAATGGCCTAAATATTTTCAGAGAATCAAAAATCTGATATCTAATTCTAAGTAAAAGAGGCCATGAAGTAGCTGAATTTGGGTCCTATTTCTTCACAAATGCAACTCTGTGGCCTCAGTTAGTCAAAATCCCATCAAGCTGTGAACTGTGGTGATCTTTCCTGAAAAAACAATGACCATTTGTAACTATTATGAGGGGGTGGAGCCGGGCCTGGTGGTGCACACCGGTAATCCCAGCACTCAGGAGGCCGAGGCAGGAGGATCATGCTGAGTCCAAGGCCAGCCTGGGCTGCACAGTGAGTCCAAGGCCAGGCTGACTACACGAGAGACCCTGCCTCAGGACGGATCCTTCCTCTTACCTTGTGTGCCGGCCCCCAGCCCCCACTTGCTCTGGAGCCTCTTCCAGGATGGAACAGCTCGGCCCCTTATGTACTGCTTAGCTGGCTTTGCCAGTTTGGAAAACTTTAAAGTCTTCTAAAATGGGGTTTTCTTGATATAGATACAGTAAAAGAATTCCTTTTCAGTGATTATCTGATCCCTCTGCGGACCTTGCTTTGAAAGTCCCACTTTATTACCACGCAGATGCCCGGCCCTGGCCTTGCCCAGCTGGGCATTGGTGGACTGAGGTGACTCGGTGCAACATAGCATCTGGGCTGAGGGCAGAGGGCAGCCTGCAGGCACCCTCACTGATGGAGAGCCGGAGGGGGCGCTCTCCCCTGCCTTCCTAAGCTCAGGCGCTCCGTTTGCAGCAGGCCCAGGGGCTTCGACAGAGAAGCACAAACACCAAGTGGTTTGGGTAGAAGACCAGGAGCAGCTGCACACACGGGAAGTGAGCTGTGGGAAGGTGAGCACGCGGTCGCAGTGGCAAGGTTTGTCTTTGCATGGTCAAGCCGGTGGGAGCCGTGTCCTCTTCCTGTAGGGCAGAAGGCGATGCCTGCACAAGCAGGAACCTATTATTGTTACTATTATTGTGGTTGTTGTTTTGAGACAAGCCCTGGCTATGTAGTCCAAGCTGGCCTTGATCTCGAGTTGATCCTCCTGCCTCAGCCTCCCAAGTTCTGGGATTACAGATGTGTGTCACCACGCCTGGCTGGAAGTCTAAGGTTACCTTGAGGATGAGAAACTTATGCCCTATTTTGGCGGAAAAGAGGAGGCAGAGTTTCTCTTATGTCTGTTGTTTCTTAATCATCTACAGCTCAAAATACCATCACCCCAAAGTGACACATTGTGGAAAAGACTGGGCCCCCACAAGTGTCTCCGGGTGCCCGGGGACTGCCACAGCTCCCTGCCTACACCCTGAGTTCATCTCCCTCCTCCATGGCTGCCGCGTGGAATAGCAGTGAGAGGTGAAGGTGAGACGCTTTGGGGTCAGACCCCTTCCACGCCGGTCACTCACCTCCGGGGTCCGAGCCGCTACGCCTGGCAGCGCCGACCTCTGCAGGAAGACGACCTGCTTCGTGGCCAGGTTCCCCTCCCTGCAAGGTACAGCACAGGGTTCATTAGTGCACGACCCTCACACTCCTTCGACTGCTCTGCACCTGAATATCTATGAAATATGATGTCTGTAAGCTCAGCTGGAAAAAGAACGGAATCCTGTTACCGAGGAAAACCACCTACTGTGGAAACACTCCTGTAACCTCACCACGCTGACAGGACTCTGGTTCTCTTTGGGTGCTGGGGATGGAGCCCAGGGTCCCACCGCAGCCCCGTCCCCTCTGGCTCTTGTCACCACGCGTGCTCCTGTCTGTGCGGCCCAGGGTGTGGCCCACAGGCTGCTCTGGCCTCCGCTGTCCCCCGCTGCCCTCCCCCAGCCAGAGTGGAGGGCCGGGCAGATCCCTCCAAAGTGCCAGCTGCTCCGGGGTGAGAGCCCGGCCCCGTCCCTCACAGTCCAGTGCTGAGCACCAAGGACAGAGGAGCCTGGGGTTAGCACCTGCCTGCCAGTGGCCTGGACCCTTCCCTGAACTGGCCTGAGCACCTGCCGAGAGCCTGTGCTGCCTGAGGCCCACAGTGAGGAGGCAGCGGAAATGGGAGGTGTGGGCCGTGTCTCCCTCTTTACCCCAAACCCTGCACACCCTGCTCAGCTCCGTGCAGGGCACCTGTGCAACAAGGCCTTTCTCTTCCTCCTCCTCCTCCTCTCTTCTCTTTCTCTTTAAACCCAGGGCCTTCCCTCTGAGCTGCATCCCCAACCCTTTTCATTTATTTTGACTCGGGTCTCCCTGAGGGCCCAAGCCAGGCTGTTCACCCTCTCCTGCCTCAGCCTCCAGAGTACTGGGATGACAGGCACGCCACCAGGCCTGACTGCCGCAAGGTTTCCCAGCCCTCAGCTGAGCTGTCCCTCCTACGTGACTGAGTGCCACAGCCTTCGGTCTCCGCAGGGACACCCAGCTTTCTCAGCACCCAGGGGCAGCAGTGGGGTCCAGAGGTGCCCACACCCACCCTCACCTGGGGGAAGCTGGACCCTTCCCTGTCCCTCGGCCTCTGCCCCACGTGGCCTGGATTCCTTGCTGGGCTGAGTCCCAGCCTCCTCTGGCCGGGTTGGCAGCCTCCACAGACCCCATCCGTGGCCACGCCACCTCCCTTCCCAATTTCCCCCAGGCCGAGCTGGGAACATGAGTGCCGCTGGTTCCGATTTGGCTTTGGGGCCACTCCTGGAACCCACCTTCCCGGGGGACACACTGTGATCATATTTTTAACGGCTCTATACTCTAATATCTTGAAAGAATGCACATAGCAAAATATTTTAGGGTTTCCTTTACTTTTGTAAAATCAGGTTGTTTCTGGCTTCCTGATAGCGATGGATCTGCTGCTAAAGAAACGTGGCATCCGGTCTCCCTCTTAGGAATTAGTTCCTGGAGGTCAATTCTGAGTAGTGGAGTTATTGGGTTAAAATCAATCCGTTATTGATATGCACTGTCAGTTTGCCTTATCAGAAAACCCATAAAGAGATAAATGAGAGACCAGTGGGCTCAGCAGGGGGCTCTGTGTGCATCTCCAGCAGAGGGGCCGTTCACTTCCAGACCTCAGCGGCCAGTACCCGCGAAGCCCTTGCCAAGATCCCCGGCCTCGTGTTCTCAGTGTCTCTCAGTTACCACTTTCGTCACACAGAAGCCTCCACCCGCCCTCCCTGCAGCTGCTGTCCTATCCCGGTGGAAGCTGTGCTGAGACTCCGGCTGAGAGGTCTCCCTGGAGCACACACCACTGAAGAGCCGGTAATGGATGCCTAGAGCTGCCTAGAGCCCGCGGGGTTGTCTGCTGGCCAGCGTTGCTCTCTGCGCGTGTCCCCAGACTGGCTGTCTGGCAGGAAGGAGCTGGACGCGGTCACGGAAGGTGTCGCAGGCAGGGATGTGGGGGTCCAGGAGCCACTGCTGCCTCCGCAACAGGTCCCCACCCACGGCCCTCAGGGCACAGTGAGGGGCTCCGGCAAAGGGCCTGGCAGGGACAGTTAGCCCTTCGGCATGAAGGGAAGCACCTCTGAAAAGGCGGGGGTTTTTTTTGTGTGTGTGTGTGTGTGTGTGTGTGTGTGTGTGTGTGTGTGGTACTGGGGTGGAACTGGACCTCATGCTGAGCTGCACCTCCAGCTTGTATTTTTTCCTTTGAGACGGAGCTCTCTCTGTCAGTTTTGCAGGCTGGATTCCAGTTTGGAATCTTCCTGCCTCAGCCTCTGGGAGTGCTGGGATTATAGGCATGCACCACTGCCCTGGCTTTATGTCCTTCCTATGTGTGCTCCAGGTCACAAAAGTTATTTTAAAATAACATTTAATAGTGATATATAAGAGGGCTGGGGATGTAGCTCAGTGGCACGGCCCTGCCTTGAAAGCACGAGATCCTGAATTTGATCCCCGGTACCAAAATATAAAGTGAAATAAAATAGTGATGTATAAGAGAGACGCTGCATATTTATACCTGAATAAAGAAAAACCTTTTGAACTCACTATGCTGTTATGCTCCTCATGCACACGTGGAATTAGTCACACTCGCATGCTTTCCTCTTCTTACTCAGCCCTTGGTTCCTAGGTGCAGCCAAAGAGCCCACGTGAGAACCAAGGAGCCAGGCGTGGTGGTGCACACCTGTAATCCCAGCTCTCAGGAGGCAGAGGCAGGAGGGAAGCAGGCACTGTCCGGACCGGGCTGTGGGCGCCCCGACGGTGTCTGCCGTGGACACTTGTGTCTTAGTGAGACCCTGTCTCAATCAATCAATTGATCAATCACTAACCAAGGGGCAAGAGAGATCTGTTTCTCTGTTTCCCTACAGCAGAGGGCGCTAATGATCACCACAGTCCTCAGCGCCCTAGGCGGCCACCCAGCGAGGACTCAGGATGCAGGGCGCGAGCCCTGTCTACCAGCCCCCGGGACTCCACGCCTGGCACCTGCTCCCTCTGTGCTGCGGTCCCTGCCACCTGTCCATGCCTGTCCCCGCCTGTCCCCTTCTGTCGCCCACCGGCTCAGGCCCTCACATTTGACCCCAGGCCCCACACACAAGATCGGGCTCAGCTGGGGCTGCTTTGTCCCAGGGCCCTGACACCCCTCCCAGAAAGCCGTTTCCGGCTCCTTCGGCTAGAAGACAGAATCTTTAGGCTAATTTGTGTTTTTTATGACTTGTTTCATCTTATATGTTCATTCATCGCCACAGTTTATGGCATTTGTAACTCAAAGGTCGATGGGTAGCTTGGCAAGACTCTGTCTCAAAATTTAAAGAGAGAAAAGGCTGAGGATGTTGCTCAGGGGACCCTGGTTTAATCCCCGCCATGAAAGAGGCCCAGTCGTGCTCCCCGACCGGCCGCTGGACGCCGGGAACAGAAGTGCGAGCTCAGGGGCAGTGTCCCGGGGGGCTTTCCCCATGGGCTGCCCAGCCTGGGGCCCCATCTCAGAATCTCCGCTGTGTGCGATCTGACGGGTGGTCAGGCACCGCGGGAACAGTGTGGAAGGAACCACGGGTCCCGGTCCTCACCCACCCTCGCGCTGTGGAGCGTGTTGCTCAGTGTCCTCCCCAGCAAGCTGGGCTGCAGAGGCACAGCCCACAGGGTGGGTCACGACACTCGCGTTCAGGCCCATGCTTGTCAGCAGGCGGTCGACTGATGTCACTGTGACGTGTGCAGGGTGCGTCTCGTCCCAGCCCTCCCCTCTGCCTCCCCTTACCTGCCCTTTCCCATAGTGTGCAGCCTGCCTGTGCCACAGCCACAGAACCGGCCGACCGTGGACCCACACCTCAGAAACCGTGAGCCCAGATGGGCCCTTCCTGTCCCACGTCACCTCTCTCAGCTCCCTGGTCACTGGCTCAGAGCAGCCCAGCACCCTTTGCTTCTGGCCGGGTGAGGCCAAGAAGGTGGCAGGGGCAGGAGGAGCTGTCTGACTCAGTCACACCTGATAGCCATGGACAGGGGCCGTGGTTATTTCCTGCGTGCCAAAGAGGGCAAAGGAACACATCCAGGCTGAGGGGAAGGCAGAGCGCTTACTCAGAGGGTTTAATTGGCTTCTTTAAAAAACTAGTAAATAGGCCAAGTGTGGTGCTGCGCAACTGTAACCCCAGCCCTTGGGAGGCTGAGGCAGGAGGGTCACTGCCCGGCTACATAGTGGGACCTTGTCTCAAAACAGGAACAAAACAAATCAAAACAACACATAAATCAATGAGCCTTTTCCCTTCTGAGGAAAGCTAGATTCAGAGGGTGGGGACATGGTTCCTCAGGGGCCATACCTGTCGCGCCTCAGCACCGGTGTGGGCAGCACGTTGGTCAGCAGCCATCCGAACTCAGCCAGGGTGTGCAGCAGGGGGCCGTAGTCCGCCTTGATGGCAGTGCCCTGCTGGCCGAGGGACAGGGCTCAGGGCTGTGCGGGGCGTAGCAGGCAGTCGGGCCACCAGAGGCTGGGTCACTGCGCCCTTCTCTGCCCCAGCTATTCCTGCTCCCCAGGACCTGAGTGAGGGCTGAGACAACAGGTGGCGACCTGCTGTCCCGGGAAGCTGCCCTCGTCCCCACACCTCTCCCTGCTGCCCGCCCGGATGTCCGGCTTCCTTAGGCCCCCAGGGCCCCGGCCAGGACCTGATGGCGGGGAGGAGTCGCCTGGACCAGCCAGGCGGCCCCAGGGAGCACAGCCGAGGAGTGGATTCTGGAGACCGAGGGTGGTGCTTGTGGCCTGGGGGGTGGCCCAGCTGTGGCACTTTTGCCTGGAAGTGACTTCCTAAGGCTGGGAAAGGGCAGCTGGCTGCTGGAGGGCCACAGTTATTTTCACTTTTAGTCGGGAGTCCTGGTCTTGGGCAGAGAGCTCAGTGCCTGGAGATTCTGTCTGGGGTTAGAATCCTGAGTTCTTCTGGAGCCCATGGCCCTGCTGCTCCCGCCCTCACCCAACAAGGACGAGGGACTCTCACTCGGGACGCAGCTCCAAGCCCTGAGCAGGCGCCTGGGCCTGCGACTTGGAACTCACAGAGCCGAACCGAAAGCCGGGCCGGCCATCGCGCTGCTCACCTCGATGATCGTCCACTGCTCTACCACGATGGCGTCCTTCCCTTTCCTGGGAGAACCCGGAAGCCCAGAGCCTTCCTCCTCGTAGATAAAAAATCCCTCCAGAGATTTCGGCAAGTGGTCCCCTGTGGAGAGAAGGGCCAGGCAGGGCGGCTGCAGGTTTGAATGTCTCTGGACTCATGTCACCCAGGGGGGCGGACAGAAAGCAGTCAACTGAAACATCTGCTTTGCTGGATCCTGGCACCCTCCAGTCTCGGAAGGGCTCCTCTTCCTGTAAACGTAAAGCCGGGTTTATACCACTCTTCACCTGGAAACTAAATTTTGGTTTCTATTTTTTCTATGAAAATGTTAATTATATCATTATGAGAAACAACATAAAAATGTTTATTCCTTAGCTGGGCATGGTGATGCATGCCTATAATCCCAGCATTCAGGAGGCTGAGGCAGGAGAATCGCCTCCGGCTCCAGGCCAGACTGGACTACATAGCGAGACCGTGTCTCAAAATAAAACAAAAACAATTTCATTTGAAATTTGAGGTGTGAGGTCAAAATTAGTGTGAGGTGAGATCTTTAAACAGAACAATTCTTGATCTCAGCCATGCACTCCCCACCCCCACCCCATAAGTATTAACCGGAAAAACCTAAACAGAAGTCATTGTCCAAAGAATTCCTGCAGGGAAGGAAGTTTTAAGGGAAGAAGGGCCTCTGGGACTCTTTCTTGAGTCGCAGACAACAGCCAGCTTGCCTGCACCAAACTGGTTTTGTGGAAATTCTTTTATCTCCTGTGTTGCAACAGAAGACACGCTCTTCCCGGTCATGTGCTGGTGACACATTTTGGTTTTTATGTAGCACAAAGTCACATCAAAGTTTCTGTGGCTGCTAGTTCCCTAAATAACAAAGGCCTTCCAAGTTTCCAGATGATGTTTTAGGCTTGCGGATTTAAAAAGACAAAAGGAAATTTCAGTGTACTTTTCCGTTTTAATTTTCATTCACCTCTACTCTTTATATTTTCCTTTCATATATTAGGCAAGTATTCCACCCCTGCCCTACAGCAGTTCTTAGTTATTAGTTGTTTAGAGATAAGATCTTGCTGAATTGCCCAAGCGGGCCTTGAACTTGTGACTCTGGCCAAAGCCCGGTGAGCAGCAGGGATCCCCTCTTAGCGGGGTGTGAACTTCTAGAACAGATCATTCTTACTGCTTCTACTTTTTTCTTTTCTTGACGTTGTTCAAGGTTAGGGCCGTACGTCTCAAAGAACTGGCGTTTTCGGTGCGGTTCCCAGGACAGTACTGTTTCATACATCCCGGGTCTGCTTTTGTACTCCACCGCAGGACCGTCTGTGCCCGGGGTCCTTTGTAAAACCGTGGTCAGGCGCACGCCGCGCTCCGTGTCCTTCTGCTCTGTGAGGTGGTGACGGCTCCTGTCCGGGTGGGGACACCGCCTCCTCGGCACAGGTGTGTGGTAGGGTCTGCGCCCGAGAGCAGGGTGAGCAGGGGCTGTGCCCGCTGACCCAGGGTCCCCTGTCACGGTGCAGCCAGGAGCTGAACCCCAGGTCCCCCTGCCTGGGGCTCCCAGGGCCGCGCCAGCAGGCGGGCGTCCTGTGTCCTTGGGGACGTCCTGCTCACAGAGGGACGGCCAGCAAGGACCGGTGACCATGTGGCTTCCGCTTAGCTGAGTGGGAACCAGCGCCGGGCGGACCCCTGCTGTGGATGGGAACCCCGAGCCCATTCGCTCCCACGGACCCTGCTGTTCCCACAAAGACGACTCCAGCAACCCAGGATCCTGAGATGCCCCCCGCCCACGCGCCGAGTCCCTGAGCTCCTCCTGGGCCGGGCCTGGCCAGGCCTCGCTGGGGTCCATGCCCCTGGACACGTCCTGCTGTCGGGTGCATACCCCGAGCTGCGTGGCCGTCACTGAGGGCCGGGATGCAGGTGACAAACACCAGGAAGGCGCTCTTAGAGCTCACGTCTTTGCTCTTCCCTCTGACGTTCAGGGCCTTAGGCATCCTGGCTTTCAAAACTCCTGTCTCTCTTCATGCATTTTTTTTCTTCGTCTCCTTACTACCTCTTTTCTTTAAAAAATTTTTTTCCTGGTCTTTTGTGTGTGTGTGTGTGTGTGTGTGTGTACTGGGGATTGAACTCTAGTCTTTGCAGGTGCTGGAACCACTGAGCTAAACCTCTGGCCCTTTCCTGGTCTTTTTAAAAAAATATAGTCTCACTAAGTTTTCTAGACTGGCCTTGAACTCAAGATCCTCCTGCCTCAGCCTCCCCACTGCTGGGATAACAGGCATGCATCACTACGCCTGATACCCAGCTTTTCTTTTAACACAAAACCCTCTTTAAAAAAAAAAAATCAGAGAGGCATTTTGGGGAAATTTGTTGTTTTTCTGAGAGACAAGGATTGAGTATATATGCTGCTGTAAGTCAAGGACAAAGGCTGGAGAAAGGTAGAAGACAAAGAGAAAGAAAAGCCACCATCACCGTGGGAACCAAAGACGGCTTCTACACAATCCCAGGAAGAGTTGGGTGTCCCCGCCCTCGCACGGTGGCAAGAGCCGCACTGGGCTTACGTGATGCAGGCCGGGGAAATGGAGTTCTCCCAGCAGGCCCTGGGGCTGGTCCACACACAAAAGGGGTCCCTTCCCTCACCAGGGTTCAGGTGAGGCCTCCAGCCGCTGAGCTGTGTGCTGAGTGGCACCCATTTCCTCAGGTGTCATTTCTGTCCTTTCTGCCATGGAACTCGAGGGGTGAAACATTTTCACCAAGTTCCACACAAGGCTGGAGTCTTTATTTTTGTTTTGGTTTGGTTTTTTGAGACAGGGTCTCACTTTGTAGCCCGGGCAATCCTCCTGCCTCAGCCTCCCGAGTGCTGGGATTATAGGCATTCCCCACCAGAAAGTCTTTAGATTGAAATGTATCCATCATGTCAAACTTACCCTTCGGGGAATCCCAGCACACGAAGGAGTCGATCAAGGACAAGCCTTGCTTGTAATAAAACGTGGTCAGCTCCAGCCAGTCGGCATCCAGCGTGCTGAGGACAGCGCCCTTCCTCGTCACCTTCAGTGACATCACGCCCTCCTGGTAGCTCCAGCAGGCCTCGGCGTCCTCGAAGGCATTGAAGACCGCATACAGCCTGCTCTCTGGAGGAGGAAAGCGTGAGGTTAGGACTGCGGTGGTCGAGGGTTCTCAGAGCCCTAAGAACGATTCCCGTGCTGGTCCCATCCCATGAGCCAGTGGAGGGGACAGAGAAAGTGCCCGCCACGCCACCAGTCTCAGCACATTGCAGAAGGGGTGTGGGGGTCTGCGAGGACCAGTATCCCAGAAAAATACCCGCCGAGTATGTTTCCTGAAAACTTCGGTTCTTTAATGCACATCTGTATACCCATATTTTGCATTTTATTAGTGTCAGACGATATCAATTTATAAGTTGATTTTGTTTTGACGGTGCTAGGGTTCAAACCCAGGGCCTCAGGCATGCTATGCAAACACTGCCACTGAGCTGACCACCTCTAAGTTGACTTATCTTTTTTTTGGTACCGGAGATTGAACTCGGGACCTTCTGCTTGTGAGGCAGGCAGCAGCACCACTGAGCTACATCCCCAGCCCCTGTTGACTTATCTTTTGTTCAAAATTATGCCTTTGCAATCTAAGTAGCTATACATAACTTACTCACTTATTTTAACTACTGCATGGTATTCCAGGTAACAGTTCTCCTTTTGATAGACATATTTATTGTTTCCAGATATTTATTTATTTATCTTTTTGGTTTTTTGAAACAGTGTCTCACTACGTAGCCCAGGCTGGTCTTGAACTCGAAGTGACCCTCCTGCCTCAGCCTTCTGAGTGCTGGGGTTACATGTGTGCACCTCTGTGCCTGGCTTGTTTCCAGTTTTTCTAAACAAATATTTTCCATGTCTCCTTGGACATGTGTGAAGAGACTGGGGTACACATATGAACAGGGGATTGGCAAATTCTTATCCTGGGGCCCAGGGCCCACGGCAGTGAATGTGTTTCGGGAATCAGGGTCCCAGCTGCATCACAGACAAGGGCATTCAGGACCTGCAGGGTTCTGTGTGCACCCACAGCCCCTTCCTCCGTCCCAGTAAGAGCTTCTGCCGTGGGCAAGTCATTACTGCACACATGATTTAAAGTACTCAGAAGGTAGAATCCAGGACTCAGCTCGACGAAATGGGGTGCTGGGTGGGGCCTCTGTGGACCCCTGAGCGGACAGGAGCCCAGGCAGGCTTATGGGGCGGGGCTCAGCGCCTCCTGCAGGTCACCAGAGCCAGCCCCGGCTCAGTCCTCTCACAGCAGCCCCAGGGGTCCCCCCAGCACACCCTCTTCCTAAAGAAGCCGGGCGTCTGGCTCTGGAGCCCAGGCTGCTGCCTCGAAGGCAGACAGAGCCTCTGACGTTCGGTGACGGTGCTGTTCAGAACCAAGCCTGTGGCCGGTGTGGTGGCGCACGTCTGAAATCCCAGCACTCAGAAGGCTGAGGCAGGAGGATCACTGCAAGGTCGAGGTCCGCCTTGGATACACAGTGAGTTCAAGACCAGCCTGACCTACATAGTGAGACCCTGTCTAAAAATCAAAACCAAAACCAAGGCTGTAAAGGTGTTGGAAAGTCTGAGCAGCCCCAAATAAATGAATAACTCCTCTCAGTGGTGGCTTGGGAAAATCTGCACCTTGGTAACCAAGGACAAAGCCATCATCTAAAGTTACTTCTGGCCTCAGGCGCTGCTGCTGGAATAATTGCTCCATCGTGGAATGCTGTTTCAAACTCCAGCTGATGAGCAAAGAAAGCCAGCGAACCTCAAAGGTGACATGGCAGAGGCCCCTGAGAAAGCCTCACACAGCGTCCAGGACCACGATGAGCCGCACACGAGCTGGTACCAACACGCGGAAACCAACTGTCACCCCAGTAGCGCGTGGCTTGGGCCTGGAGACCGCTGAGCAGTCTCTGAAGCTGTGGCAAAATTTAAATGGGTTCTAGAACTCTCTCAGAGTCACTTTCCCAAACCATCCTCATCAAAAAGAAGACAATCGCGTAAGAGCCCAACGCGCAGGCGTGCTTGCTTCATCCTGACAAAGGAAAGTCAGAAGATGGACCCTTTCCTCGTTGTTCTGAGAGGGGTCTCATTCTTTTCCCCAGGCTGGACTTGAACTCATGGGCTCAAGCGATCCTCCTGCCTCAGCCTCAACCCAGCTTCATCATGTGGAGACCTGGGAACCCGCTAGTGGGGACTGTGGTCTGAAACTCCTCTGGGCTTCTTCCTGCTGTGGGGATTTTTAAAATCACGCAGTTTGTATGAATTTTAATCTTCATAATCTTTAGAAATTTACGTTGAGAAAACCTTCAAAAATGTATTTTGCTAAGTTGAAACTAGAACCGCGGTCTCTTTTTTTCATTTTGTTCGTTTTTGTTTTTGAGACAGGGTCTTTCTGTGGCACCCAGGCTGGCCTGGAACTCACCGCAGCCCTCCTGCCTCAGCCTCCTGAGCGGCTCTGTGCCCCGCACTCCTCTTGTCCCTCACCTTCTCCCTTCCTTGTGGAGGGGCCGGGGCTGCCGTCGCCCTCCTGACGGGACTGTTCTCCAGTGCCACCTTCTGACGCCAGCCCGCTGCCCGGCCAGCTGTCCTCCGGCTCCGCACCCGAGTCCCGCCTGGCCCCGTTGCAGCATGGGGGCGAGGTGTGGAGCTGCGGGGTGAAGCCCACGAACCTCATTCCTCTCCGGGCGGCCGCGTTGATCTGAGGGTCAGAGAGCAGAACGAAGCGTGAGTCCGCCTGCGGCCCGGTCACCTCCGCTCCAGGGCGCAGGCGCAGCCTTCCCAGTGGAGCAAGCTTAGAGCAGCCTGAGACCCCAGAGCCGCCCCACCAAGCATTCCTCGCTGCTGCGGAGATATCGTTTACTTATTTATTCATTCGACTGCATCTTATGTTTTCCCATCCCCCAACCCCTGCGTACAAAAGCGTCGTTTCCGTTCTTCCTTCTTGTGCCCCTTCTCCCTCCCCCGCCCTTGGTCTCCTTCCCACATCCCAATATCTATGACACATACTGGTCCTGATTTCCACGTTCAGTTGCTCACACCAGAGAAACAACATGGTACTGAAACGTGTGTCCCATTTATCTCACTAAGACTATGGCCTAAGGTCCGTCCATGTCAGTAGAAATCCTTCTTTATGGCAGAGTAGTACTCCCTGGTATAAACCCGCACATCTTTATCCATTCATAGGCGGATGGGCATCTGGGCTGATTCTGGGATCCAGCTGTTACAGACTGTGCACTGTCAACATAGGTGCACACATCCTGTCGGGAAGATACCAAGAAGAGGAATGGCTGGGTCAAATGGGCCTCTATTCCTAGTTCTTTGAGAGATCTCCACACTGATTTCCGCTGTGGTTGCCCCAGGCTGCACTCCCATCCACAGTGGAGCAGGGTTCCTTTTCCCCGTAGCTTCTCCACCACTAGTTACACGGTTATTTGGTTGATTTCTTGATAGCAGCCATTCTTTCTGGAGTGAGATGGAATCTCGGTGTTATTTTTATTGCATCTTTCAAATGACGAGTGATGTTGAATAGCTTTTCATGTATTTATTTGCTGTTTCTACTTCTTCATCTGAGAAGTGTCTACTTATCTCAGATGCCTTTTTTGCAATGGGTCTTTAAATTTGGAAGGGGGTCTGATTTTTTGAACCCTTTATATATTCTAGATAATAGTCCTTTATCTGAACAGCTGGTAAAAATTTTTTCCCACTCTGTGGTTTGTCTCTTCACTCTGATGGTGGTTTCTCTTGCTGTGCAAAAGCTTTTTTTTTTTTTGTACCAGGGATCGAACTTGGGTCCTTGCGCTTGTGAGGCAGGCCACCGAACCGCTGAGCTAAATCCCCGGCTGTGCAAAAGCTTTTTTTTTTTTTGTACCAGGGATCGAACTTGGGTCCTTGCGCTTGTGAGGCAGGCCACCGAACCGCTGAGCTAAATCCCCGGCTGTGCAAAAGCTTTTTAATAAGACGAGGTCCCAGTTATTGATTCTTTATAGTATTTCCTGTGTGGTCTGCATTTGTTCATGAAGTCTTTGCCTACTCCTGTGTCCTCAAGTGTTCTACCTATTCTCTCTTCCAGCAGATTTAGTGTTTCTATTTTGATGTTTAGATCTCTAAACCTTTCCCATTTTAAGTTAGTGTGTGATGAAAGATATGGGTCTAGTTTCAATCTTTAGGATGTGGAAAGCCAGTTTTCCCAGCACCATTTATTAAAGAGTGAAGGTGTTTGGCTCCTTTGTCAAAGATAAGGTGGCTGAGTGTGTCTGGAGTTGTTTCTGAATCCTCTAGTCTGTCCTATTGATCCTCAGGTCTGTTCTTTTGCTAGTGCCAGCTGTTTTTATCATAGTAGTTTTGTAGTATAATTTCAGGCCAGGGATTGTGATGCCTCTGGTCTTATCTTTGTTGCCCAGAATTGCCTTTGCTGTTCTAGGTCTCTTCTGGTTCCAAATGAATTTTAGGATGGTTTTTTCTGATTCTGTGAAATATGCTATTGGGATTTTGATTGGGCCTGCATTGAATCTGTATAACAATTCCGGAAGTCTGGTCATTTTCACTATCTTGGTTCTTCCTAGCCAAGAACAAGGGATATCTTTCCATTTTCTGATATCCTTTTCAATCTCCTGTTTCGGAGTACTGTAGTTCTCAATGTAGATGTCTTTTACTTCCTTCATTAGATTAATTTCTAGGTATTTCATTTTTGGGGATGTTATTGTGAAAGGGATTGTTTCTGTAATTTCTCTCTCTGTGAGACAGTTGACTTTGTATCCAGCTACACCACTGAATTTGGTTATCAAATATAAAAGTATTTTGGTGGAGTTTGGGGGTAAGAAGATATAATTTATTATTATTTTGGGGGTACCAGGGATCAAACTCGGGTCCGTGTACTTGTGAGGCAGGCGGTGGGACCACTGATCTAAATCTCTGGCCCAAGAAGATATAATTTAAATGCAGAAATCCTACACTAATGTTTGCATGGTGTCGATGAAGAAGTTAAAGATTAATTCTTCTTATTTTCTTGAGATGGGGCCTCACTCTGCTCTGCAGGCTGGGCTCAGAACCCTGGGCTCTGGTGACCTCCTGTCTCAGCCTCCCCGCCGCCATAGTGGTGGAAAGACCAGCTCCAGGCTTGGCGACGATGCATTGCAGCGGCCCAGCTCCCACCTGGTCCCGGCCCTCTCTGGGCTCCCTGTTGTGCCTTGGAGCGGTTGTCCCGTCTGGGCTGGATCCCACGCACACATCTGCCACTTTCACCTCTCAATCACACACCCTGCTCCAGCCGAAGGTGGCTTCTCCTCGCTCTGCCCCTTTTCTACCCGTGTCTCTCTCCTGCGCTTGCTCGGCGGTCCTTCTGTGTCTGATCCGGCTTCGTTGGCAGTGCTTGGTCCTTCTAGGTCGTAGGATCTAGGTGCTGGACTAAGTACTGCTCTAGCGACGTCCTTCCAGGTCACTGTGTGAGGCGCTCGGCCTCGGTGTTCTGAGCGCTGTCTGGTCGTAAGAACAGCTGCGGCGGGCCGGTGCTGGGACCGCACATTTACAGGCCCACGTGGGTAGAGACCACCTGCCAGCCTGGCTTTAAAGACGAAGGGAGGGCAGCGCCTGCCTCACTGCGGGAGCCCGCGATCCCCCTGGGCACCCGGAAAGCCAGGCACGGAGGGGGCCTCGCGGCGGCCCTCAGGCGGTGCAAAAGGCCGGGTTACCCTGACTGCTGCGGTCGCCCTGCTTCCCGTCTGGGATTTCTAACCGGTCCGGGAAGTCAGAGGCCAAGCGGGGCGCTGCAGGAGACCCACACAGGCCAAGTGAGCAGCTACCTTTGTGTTTTCACAAGAAGCTTTCTGGAAGTGATGGACTCATTCCCAGAAAAACATTACATTTCCCAGCACAGTAGTGGCAAACAGTGTGTGCGCTGTGTTTGTAAACAGCCGGCCCTAAAGACCGCTTCTCCCACCGCCTGAGCGGGGATTTTGTCTCCGGCCAAGGCCTCAGCAGCTCCCGCGTGAGCACAGCCAAGCTTTCCCACGGGGTTAAGGTGGGGAGCAATGCAGAAAGCAGAGAACAAGCTTCACTGTTTCTCACCCGACAGGAACTACCTCAGGTGTTAGGCTGTGGGCCTTTAAATAAATGCCAAAAGCCTGGAGATATGTCGCTACAAATAAACCCCAAACAGGAAATAAAAGCCTTCACCATGAAACCCTGTCACCCTGGATTATTTATGAATATGCCATTTTGCTGGTTTTAATCAGTCCTGTGAGTGTCCACCTTTATGAAGTCGACTTCTGTTGCGCAGTCTACTCTCTCCCTGGTCAGCGTCACACTCCAGGCCTGTAAAGTTTGTATGACACTGATAACCGCTGTCTCCTTCAAAGTCTTCCAGGTCCTGGAAACTTGGTTCACTGTTCACTGTTGATTAAATATCTCCGTATGAAAATGACCTTTTCTCTTTTCATAGCACTTCTTGGAATAGACGGCTAAGGAGGAGTTTGCTAGGTTCCAAAATTAAGCAGGGCTGAGGGTGCTTGTTTCCAAACTGGCCTTCAGGACCACTGGGCTGTGTATTACGAAGCCAGTTGCAATGCGGATGTGCACTTGCCTTGAAGCCCTCCCGACACTGGCTTTAGTCAGTTCAGTTGGGTGTCCAGTTTAGTAGTGGAGAGGTATTAATTCTCACTTTTTTTACACGAAGAATGGTTAGTTAGCATCTGCTGCCTGGTGTCTCATTAGTGTTTCTTTTTGCATCTGCAGCCCAGACCTCCAGTTTCAGACTGAAGTCACTGGTGTATTTATGTTCCCTTCCTTCGTGTTCTGTGGGGCCCCTTCCTGCAGGTGCTTCTTGCTTCTTCCTGAAGTTAACTTTTCTGGTGCACATTTATGTTTATGGCCTCAGACTCCCCAGTCTTCACATAACTCAGCGAGCTCACTCTTTCCGTTTCCTCTCAGGTTCCATTTTAAAGAGCCTTCCCACATCTTATCTAAAATGTGTGGAACCCGCTGCATTTTCTGCAGCATAGATGCCCACGTTCTCCATGTATCAAGGAGTGCTCATTCTGCTGTCTCTGTCTCTGTCTCTCTCTCTCTCTCTTTTGGTATCAAACTCAGGACTTTGTGTTTTGTTTTGTTTTTTTGGTACCTGGGATTGAACTCAGGTCCTTGCGCTTGCAAGGCAGACCACCGAACCGCTGAGCTAAATCCCCGGCCCAGGACTTTGTGTTTGTAAGGCAGGTGGTGGCACCACTGAGCTAAATCCCCAGCCCCTTCTGCTTTCTCTTATCGGGTTTATTATTATGTGAGTACCTCCATTATGTTTCATGGGTCTGCTTTTCTGGTGTGTGTGTGTGTGTGTGTGTGTGTGTGTGTGTGTGTGTGTGTGTGTGTGTGTAGTGTGTGTGTGTGTAGACAGGGTCACAATGTGTAGTCCAGGCTGGTCTTGAACTCATGGTGACCCTCCTGCCTCAGCCTCCCAAGTGCTGGGATTACAGGGGTGGGCCACCATGCCCAGCTCTGTTTTCTGTTTTTCAAGCAGTATAGTTTGGTATATGTGCTGCCAAAGCAAGCACCAAGCAGTATAAGTGTCTCAGTGTTTTAAAGTCGTGTAGACTAAGTCGTCTATCACTTCCTTATTCCTTTAAACATAAAGAGAAGAAACCGCGAAGAAGCCCTTTCCCAGCGGCATGGAAGTGCGCACCCCATACCTTCTGCGTCAGCTCCCTGGCGATGTCGCTGGCCTGCGCGTCCCCCGGGACGGGACACTCCTCGATGACCAGCCGCGGGCGCCTCTGTGAGCTGGGCGCTGCCAGGCACTTGGGGCTGCAACAGAGAGAACGGGTTCGTGGTGGTGACCACGGGCATGGGGCAGCTCGCAGGCCAGGCCGGGCCAGGAATCTCTACATTGTTTTCTGTTTCCATCAGCCCACATTTGCAGTGGGTCTGCTCACATGGCCCGCAGGGGGCTGGTTGGAGTCCACGGCACAGCTCGGCTCCCACGCCTCCCTCCTCTGTCCCGCCCGGCCACCCTGTCCCCTTCCAAGCTTTATTTGTTCCAGATGGCCCTAAGTTGTTATTTCAAGCCTGGTGGCTCTCTTCTCACAAAAAACACCAGAAGCACAGCCACTTCTGCTACCTTAAAGTTCCTCAATCCGAAGTTCTAGTAATTCAATCTCTAACCTCAAATGAAAGAGCTTCGTGTCTGTCGTTTTAATAAAAGCGAGCAGAAATGATTCTGGGTCTCTGCTGCACCTCACAGACGCGCGGAAGCACAGGTGATCACCCTGGCTGCGAGAGGAGCACCATCCTTTCCCTTTTCCTCTTTTCCTCCTTGCTTGTTCATTCTTAGCCTGGCCAGGGCACGGCTATGGAGCGGTGCTGACGCAGAAGGTCACTCGTTTGCACACAGCTTGTGAGGGCTGTGGGTCGGCAGCACTGCTAATGCAGGTTTGCCCAGTGACCCTGATCTGCTCAGGACCCGAGGGGACCCCAAGACCGGGGCACAGGACACGGGTGAGCAGGCACTGCCCGCCGCCGGACTTACAGTGCACTCAGCAGTTTTGTTTTGTTTGGGTATTTTGGTTTTTGAGACAGGCTGGTCTTGAGCTCACTATATAGCCAGGCTGACCCGGAATTTCCAGGGATCTTCCTGCCTCGGCCTCCAGAGTGCTGGGACTGCAGTTGTGTGCCACGATGACTGGCCCACTGGGGTTTTTCTTCTTCTCCTCCCTCTCCCTCCCCTGCCTCCTCTTATTTAAAAAGTTTTTATTTTCTGTGGCTCTGGGGATCAAACCTAGGACCTGGGGCAGGCTAGGCTACCACTTTAGCACTGGACCACACCCTCAGCCACACCTGTGAACACACATCCAGCGCCCTCTGAATCCTCCAGTTTTCCTGATTCCTCACTGTTTTCCTCCCATTCATTTGCTATTGGCCCTTTCACAGTTACGTGATTGTTGCTGTTTACTCTAAAGACAGAACAGTTCTTTCTGATCTTTGAGATGTTTTAGTAGAGTTGCATAAAAAAAAGAAAAAGAAAAAGAAAAAGAAAAAAGAAAAGAAAAATACGATGTGTTAACCAGAGTGCTGTTTGGTTATTTTCATTCTTCTCTGGAAAAAGCAACAGCATTTTACCATAAAAGCTGTCAAATATGCTCCTAGGCATTCAAAAGTGATTGCAATATTGTTTAGAAAAGCAGCTATCAATTTTTAAAAAGAGCTGGGTGTGGTGGCACTTGCAGTGATCTCAGCTCTCAGGGAGGCTGAGGCAGGAGGGTTGAAAGTTCCAGGCCAGCCTGGGCAGCTCAGTGAGACCTTGCCTCCTGTTGCGCAGGGCAGAGGACTTGGTGAGTGCGCCGTGGGGGAGGCTGACTAAATGAGTGTGGAGTTTGCTCCCTGTGCGGGTGGGCTGGTTCGGCTGTGTTTTAAGGGCAAGAGGACGCTGCGCTGTCCCTCGCTGGCCGGGCGAGCTGAGCCGCAGGTCCCCGC